CGTCTGAACGGTAACCAGGTTGGTACCGTATAAAAGAACATTACCACTCTGGTCCTCCTAGGCCTTAGCACCTTTGCAGCTGCACACATGTTGCTGAGCCAGAAGAGTCTTTTTAGAGACAGAGTATTTGTTGCGCTTCCTGAGGAACCGAGGGATGGAAAATCCATACTATCTTGGGTTATTGATCATGTATCTGACAGCACAGAGATCATCATCGTCCACATAGTAACATCACCAAACTTTGGTTAGTTATGTGCACTGATTGTCCTGAATTTGATAGCCCCTTGTGAATAAATGAGAAGATATACTTGTTTCTTGCCACAATCTTTAGTTGATTGCTTGCTGAGATATTCTTTTTATCTCAGCTATTATGTCTTGTTAAGTGTTCTTAGTATATAATCTGTTGCAAATTATTATCATCTTACCTGATTTTTTTTTTGTTATTCTTAAGAAAGCCGCCAGCAAATTTTGGACTGCTACCTGGATCAATGCTCAAGGAAAAAGGTGCATGACATCAATTTTGCTATTGTATTTGTTCTATGAAATCTTATGTGGAAACGTGCATTACACAGTCCCAGGGACTATAGGTGTGCTATATATGTGTGAAGAAAACAGAGAAAAGGAAAATGAAAATTATGTGCTTAGTAACTCTATGCATTGCTTTACTTTTGTCATGTACTGATTGAAAGTTAAAATATGCCAGCTTTTCATTGACCAAATAACTAAACCTACAAATTAGAAGTAAAGGCTCAAACCTACAAATTAGAAGTAAAGGCTCAAATCCAGTATGAACTTGTGTATAATCAAATCCTGCATTTTAATATGTTGGTTGTCCTATTTGAACTTATTTCACGAATGCATACTTGCATCTTGATTACTAAAAGCGAGTACAAACTAAGTACAATCTGTGCCAGGAACTTCTTGATTAGCACGTTCATAGAGAAATATCCACAGTTTCTGTTTAACATCAAGTAAATTCTAATTTCTACCATGGTCAGGTTAGAGCTGAGAAACGGGTGTTTCTATTCACCGAAATCGATGAGGGCCTTATTCATCTGATAAATATATATGGGGTCACTGAACTTGTTATTGGTGCAGCAGCAGACAGACATTACAGGAGGTCTCTCTCTCCGTCTATCAGTATTACAAACTGAAATAGATTTGATCTTGAAGGAAATGTTTTTTTTTTGTGTTCTCCAGGAAAATGAAAGCACCACAGTCTCAGACAGCACTGGGTGTGATGCAAAAAGCTCACTCACACTGCAATCTGTGGTTTATTTGCAAAGGAAAGCTAATATTTTTCAGGTAGGATTCAAATCGCCAATGGGCCCTTCAGCAATTCTAGCTTTGGTTTCTCTTCTGTTGATCTTAAGCTATACAGAATTTTGCTTCTATTCCAGGTAACTTAAAAAGTCTTCATAAAAGTCTAGGTATTATAAACATTTTAATAGTCATTTCTCAATGTATATAAAAGTACTTGATGAGAGGTCATTTTTACCTGACTAAATAAACATGTTTATAACTAGCATGTGATTTATTGGTTTAAAACATGTTTTTTATTTCTGTATATATTGTAGTATGTGGATTTATGGTTGAGAGTACAGTTGGCATTTAATTTAATAGGTGATTAACAGCCATTGCTTGAAATTATCTGTATTTATCAGTATCATCCCTGTTATTTTTTCTCATGTGAATGAGTATTAAACTATTAATTCATTGAAGCTTAAGTAAATCTTTTGTTTCACTCATTTAAGTTGATGGAAATTTTCCAGGGAGGCAAATTACTGCCTGTTGACCAAGTCAAGATCAGCACGGCCAACTTGTGGTGTTGGCAATCCCAAAATGGATCTTCAGAGTTTGCTTCAACCAAATTTAGAGGTGTGAGAATTTTCTGGCATAATCCATATATACTATTTCTCATATTGAATATTTATATGCTTGAAACAGAACTACAGCAATGTGGTCTTGTTATGAGACTACTTCTGCCGATAAAAAAAAGGCCTTGATACGCTTTTAGTATTTTATTCACACCATTATTTAGGTAAAAGAAAAGGTAGGATCATTGTACTAGTCCAGGGATTTCACTAATTTTCTATCAACAATTGCTAATTACATTCACAGGCTAAAAGATTGGAATATATGTATATTAAGGATATGGAAATAAGGAAAGAAATAGAGGCAGAAATCTCACAACAGAAAGAAAAAACAGAAACTCTGAAGGAAGCAACTTTGATGCTCCAAAATGAGCTCGATTGGTACAGATACCAATGGAATAAGAATGCCAATGCATTGCAAGAGGCAAACAAGCAGAAGCACCTTCTGGAACATCGCATATCAGAGTTAGACTCTGTTGCCAGCTATTTAGGAGAGAGCATGAGAGCGTCTGATTCTCTTGTGCACTCACTAAAGTTGGAGTACAGTAAAGTGAAGCGGGAACGAGATGATGCGGTTAAAGAGGCAAGGGACATGCGTATGGAGAAAGAACTCAGAACCTTGTGCCTATGGAGCAATGAACTCTGAATTCTCCTTGGTGGAGTTGGAGCAGGCTACCCAGGTATTCAGCAGTTCACTTAACATTGGTCAGGGTGGATTTGGATTTGTCTTTAAAGGTTTTCTCCGGAGCACCACAGTAGCTATTAAGATACTCAATACTGAAAGCTTGCGTGCCCAATCACAGTTCAAGCAAGAGGTAAAATGCTTATTTTGCTGCTTTGTATAGCCATACAATATTGCATTGGAACAACAGGGAGTAAGAATAAAGCCAACGAGTTTTGTTGCTCTAATTTATTTTTTCAGGTGGCAATACTCAGTAGAGTGAGGCATCCAAACCTAGTCACCCTTATCGGAGCCAGCCCTGAAGCTTCAGCCCTTGTTTACGAGTTCTTACCTAATGGAAGCCTGGAAGATCGTCTGAACTGTGTTAACAACACCCTGCCACTCAGTTGGCAGGTGCGCATCCAAATCATAACGGAGGTTTGCTCCGCACTGATTTTTCTTCACAAGCACAAGCCTCACCCAGTTGTGCATGGAGACCTCAAGCCAGGCAACATCCTCCTAGATGCAAACTTGGTGAGCAAGCTCAGCATCTTTGGAATCTCCCGTCTCTTTCTGGAGTCCAGTGTCACTGGCAGCGAGGCACACTTCACCACTCAGCCTATGGGCACAGCAGCATACATGGACCCAGAGTTCTTTGGCACAGGGGAGCTGACACCACAGTCTGACACTTACTCCTTTGGCATTACAATCCTGCGCCTCTTGATTGGAAGGGCACCTCTACGCCTTACAAGGGTGGTGCAAGAGGTAGTGAATGACAATGACCTTCGCTCAGTGTTGGATCACTCGGCAGGTGAGTGGCCCCTGGTGCAGGCAGAGCAGCTTGCACGGATTGGGCTGCAGTGCTCGGAGCTCAGCAGGCAGAAGCGCCCTGATCTTGAACTCGATGTGTGGAGGGTGGTTCAATCTATGAAAAAGGAAGCTCCTTTGCCGTTGTCACAATCTTTTGGGTCCATCTTCAATGAAAGCGGTAGAGCTGTTGCCACGCCATCGAACAGTATTTTTCTCTCACAGCAAATCAGCCAATAGTACTTTAAGCCATGGCTTATCAGCCAAGCGAACAGGGCATATAAGGTGCCTCTGTTCTTTTGGTGCAAACTGCTGTCAGATATGATACTTAGCTAACTTTCTGCTATGCTTGTCTATTGTCTTCAGGTTGTCATGAGAGATCCTCAGGTGGCAGCAGATGGCTTCACCTACGAAGCTGATGCCCTTAGATACTGGCTCGATAGCGGGCATGACACATCTCCAGTAACAAACAAAACTCTTTCAAATCGTGATACCATCCCCAATCACGCACTGCGTTCTGCCATCCAAGAATACCTCCGGCAGAACAAGCTGCAAAAACTATTTTCACAGGGGTAGGAGCAGGCCCTTGTTGGAGTTTCAATTGTGTCAACTGATAATCCTTGATATAAGGCGTGCCATTTGAGTTATGAATGCCAAAAAAATGTCCCCTTTCATGATGTGCGCATTATCTATTTGGATATGATCCTGCTTGGATTCATTCGCTGTTTGAGGAGATTTAGTCAGTGGTGCAATAGTTCTATGTACTGTATATGACGATTCATGATTTCCATATGAAATGGCACGGGCAAATATACTTTATTTCCCAAGCACAACTCGAAGAATTTAGGAGTTGTTTAGTCGACGATAGTCATAGTCCATCGTTACTTTTGCTTTCGGAAGGTCTCCATCTAGCTATGCTTATGGCTGGAGATCCTCACGTTCACGAGCAGGCAAATTCTTCGGATGACTCTGTATCTGTCAAGTAAGTACATATGCGTCTTTGGTTTTGTCATGTACTCCCTCCATTCTAAATATATACATAAATTTTGCTTTGCATTTAGATGTATATATTATGCCTAGACATAGCTTTTACTATGTATATAGAAAAGCTTTGGATAGGGGGAGTAGAAATTAAAGAGAAGTTGCTTGGAAATTGCCTTATACAAATCAAGATCAAAGTAGCTTACTGGATACCTGATAAGGGTGGATACAGGAAGGAAGGAAGTAATTTCAACAGAACATCAAATAATACAGGAAAAATTTTTGATCTATCTGCATCGAAGCAAGAGAAAGAAATCAACTATGTATTTGCTTCATTCTAAAATGTAAGCTGTTTAAGTTTTGTGCTATGTTAAACTTCTCTCACTTTTACCGTATCTAGAAAAATATATTATCATAATAAAACTAATTTGGTGGTGAAGATTCTGGTGTTTTTCTATGAACTTATTAGAGTCAAAAGAAACAACAACTTATATTTTTGGGACGGAAAGAGATCATAGTATGAAGTGTTACATTGCATGCATTTAAGAGATCAAATTTTAACATGATTGTTATGCCAAAAGATTGGCCAACAGGAAGACCAACCAATTTGCTTGTCCATCAAGAGCCCGTGGAGAAATTCTCCATGCGGTCCAGCCCAACGAACATCGAGTACCCCAATGCAATACGAGGCAATTAACAGCCCATGGAAGAAGCCTACAAGGCCCAGCCCCACTCAGCCACGCATCCGTCCGGCAATCGGCAAATTCGACATCCGCTCCTCCGCCTACACGAGGAGCCGAGGTAGTACGCCGCCCCCCACAATCGCCTTCGGCGCTCGCGTTTCATGCCGCCGGCGCTTTCTCCACCCTCCCCAATCCTGCCCCAGGCCCCAGCGATCGAGACACCAATCCCCAGGTGGCCAGGCCCAAGCGCCCGACGGCTGCGGATCCTCGGCTTTGCAAAGGCGGCTGGGCACCCCCCAGCGACTCAGGGCGGATCCAATTACTCCCCAGCCCTGTTCTGGATTATTCACTGCTGATGCCCCAAGTGACGGCCGCCCGTACGCTGGTGAGCTTGCTGCTCCCGGCAGCGCCTGCCATTTGCCCCGCACTGGTGAAGCTCAGAGCCGGGGGTTCTGCAGTCATGGCTCTTTCCCCTCGGCGTCTCGGATTTCTTGCTCATCAGAGCTATCTGATACTGATAGAGGTCCTGCCAAGGAGATGGAGGAGTCGGAATTCAGTGACGAGACATATGCCGTGAATGGTGCTGAAGAGGACGATGAAACAGAGGATTTAATTTGGAGCAAAGAAGAGATTGATGCTATTTCGGCGCTCTTCGACCGGCCGATGCGCCAGAAGCCCCTGAAGCCGCCAAACCCCGCGAGGCAGAGGGCCCTCCCATTGCCACTGCCGCACAAGACGAGGCTGCCCGCCGCTCCTGCGCCGAAGCAGAACGTCCGCCTCGCTGCAAGAGCGGGGCTCTCTTCTCGCGCTTCCTTCAGCGACCAGGTGCGCAAGAACCCGGAGTTCCTCATCGGGATTGCCCGGGAGATCGCCGCGCTTCCTCCAGAGCACGACGTCTCCACGGTGCTCGACCGGTGGGCGAGGTTCCTCCGGAAAGGCTCCTTGTCACTTACCATTCGTGAGCTCGGGCACATGGGGCTCCCCGAGCGCGCGCTGCAGACATTGTGCTGGGCTCAGAGGCAGAAAGCTGTGCCGTTGTTCCCTGACGACCGGGTTCTTGCTTCGGCCATCGAAGTTTTGGCGCGCTTTGACCAGCTCAAAGTGGAGTCTGCGCTGGAGCAATGTGTGCCCACGGCCAGCCGTGCCGTTCTTGAGGCCATGGCGAGCGGGTTCATCAGAGCAGGGAAAGTGGACCGTGTGCGCAGAGTCCTTGAACTTGCAAGGATCAATAACAGGACGCTGCACCCCAGCATCTATGTGAAGTTGATGTTGGAAGCCACCCGGACACCTGAAGGCTATGGGCTTGCAGCAGCATTGGTCGATGAGCTCGGTGAGAAGCCGGACTTGGAGCTGCGTCTGCAGGACTGCACGGCTGTCATGAAGGTCTGCATAAAGCTCCGACGGTACGCAGCTGTCGAGAGCCTGTTCAGCTGGTTCAGGGAGTCCAGTGGGAGCCCCACAGTGGTGATGTACACGACGGTGATCCACAGCCGCTGCCGTGACGGGAGGCATCGCGAGGCGCTGTCCCTAGTGTGGGAAATGGAGCAGGCAGGATGTCTGCTTGATCTGCCGGCCTACCGAGTTATTGTGAAGCTGTGCGTGGCATTGCAGGATCCAGAGAGGGCTCTCCGCTATTTGTCCAGGATGAAGGAGGCTGGGTTTATTCCAACCAGCGACATGTACGACAGTCTGATCGAGGGCTATTTGGCAGATGGGAGGCTGGCCAAGTGCCGACAGCTGATCAGAGATGCGGAGTCGGCCGGCGTGAAGCTGGACAGGAGGCTGCTTTCGCGGTTGTCTGAAATCGGAGGCAGACATCCTTAGTTGACTCTGATGAGTGTTGTTGACATGTGTTATGCACGGGTAGAATCAGGACAGGAACACCAAACTGTGTAGAGGCAAATTATCTGTAGCATTTATTGTAGAGTAATAGAAAGAGTAATCTTGACAGAAGATTATGAACTATTCTTTTGGTTGTTGCCCAGTTGCCCTTGTACTTTCCAGTAATCGATGATTTCATGACAACGATGAATTGGTGACTGCAACGGACTCAAGCCAAAATCCTGAAAGGCTGAAACTGCTAATGCATGCTTGCAAGTTTTTTTGTATCCTTTCTTCTGACCATGCCATGAACAGTCTCTTTTAAGCTCTTAATCGATGCAAGAATTAGTTTTCTGAAGCTGTAGCTTCAAGACTGCCCAGTTAGCAGTGATGAATTTGTGTAATTCGATGCCAGGAGATTGCTCAATGCTGAATTTGTGTTCATACTTGAATTCAGAGAAGCCTTGGAGTCCTATACCTACTGCTTTATTTGTGCTGTGGCATTTGTTACCCTGCAGGAATCTAAAAAGAATGTCCTCATTGTTGAAGGAAGCACCAGACTGCAGACTGCAGAGGCGGGGTTACCTTGTCGTTGCTGCCGAGTTCCGCTTGTACTTCTCGAGCAAGCGATGATTTCGTGACAAGGATGAATTGGTAGCTGCCATGAAGAGTACTGTTCGCTAATTTGTTGTGAGAGAAAAACACTATATCATGGCTGATAAGTTTCGAGCGAACAGGGCCTAAGCTGAAATCCTGAAACTGCTGATGCCTGGCTGCAATGTTACAGTGAACAAGTATTTTGAACCTTTTGCGGCATTCTTCCTTCTGACGTTACAAGGTTACAGTGAACAAGTATTTGTCTCTTGTATGTGTTAGATATATATGATGTACGTGTGTGTATGTCTGGCGTGGCCTGTCACGCCAGGCTTGGACGGCTGAGTCAGCCCTGCCCTCAGAATAGGATCGGTAGCATCCCCAGGATTGCTGCCCAAGATAGCCACCTCCCCTGATTCTAGGCTTCCATAGTTAGCCAGGGAGACGCCTATATGTACTGCCCTCTGGGCCTTTCCTATTTATCTAAGAATTCCACACAATCTAATCTACTTTCAGTATGTTTTTATCAGTGACTGCAAGTAATGAACATCTGAAGCTGTAGCTTCAAGATTGATCAGTGCTGAATTCGTCTACTTTGATGCCAGGGGACTGATCAATGCTGGATTGGTGTTCATCCATGGATCCAGAGAGGTCTGAGAATGTTGGCATACTTTGGTTTGGTGACCTATGACTATGATAACTCTACAAGCACGGCAGCACTGCATCGATCGTACCTAGGAAATAGTCTTGACACAAGAAATTTTCTTTATGCCACGTCCAAATTGCAAAAGCTGCAGAAAGCCCAACCAGCAAGGGTACCCAACGGCAAGAACATAGAAAACGGTTAGATCCAGAGGGGAAGGGGAGGGAAAAGGAAAACTGAGCAGGAGGCCGGTGTCTGGGTGCCCGTCGTCGCCAGAGGCGGGCGCAATGCCGCGCCTCCGCCTCCCTCTGGTCCTCCTCCTCCCCATAGCCCTCACCATCCTCCTCCTCCTCCTCTTCCCATCTTCCCCACGCCTGCGCTCGCCCCCGCCGCAGCCGCTCCCCTGCGGCGCCGCGCTCTCCGATGCCGCCGACGGCCGGTGGGTGCCGACCCCGTCCCCCGCGCCGCCGCCACTCTATTCTCCGTCCTGCCCCTTCCACCGCAATGCCTGGAACTGCCTCCGCAACGGCCGACCCCAGCTCGCGGCGCTCTCCTGGGCGCCCACCCGCTGCGGCGGCGCCGTCGTCCCGAGGATCGACGCCGCGGGGTTCCTGGCCGCGGCCAGGGGGCGACGGATTGGGCTCGTGGGGGACTCACTGTCTGAGAACCTCGTTGTCGCGCTCCTCTGCGCGCTCCGCTCGGCGGACGACGGCGCCCGCAAGTGGAAGCGGCGTGGCGCGTGGCGTGGTGGGTACTTCCCCAAGGAGGACGTCATCGTCGCTTACCATCGCGCCGTCCTGCTCGCCAAGTACACGTCAGTGAGAGCTCCATGCTGCAGATAGCTGCTGCTTTCCTGGTTTGTTATTAAAAGAGCAATCCTTCTAGTACTTCTCTGAGATTACCATGAATGTTACCTACATAAGAGGTGTTAGTATTCTGTCATTAATGCATTGCCTTGGATGCAGAGAGCGCAGTTGCGAATTTGTGAGTAAGGAGGGCAGATAGAAAATATGAGTTTATCTATCTACTAGGCTGGCAGTAGTTGTAGTTTTCTACATTGTACAACAACAACAACAATGTAGTTTTCTACATTGTAGCAGTAGTTATATCTGAGATGAGATGTTTCAGTTGCTTGGCTTGTTTAGGATACAAAAACATGCAACCGAGAAGAGGTCTTAGAAATTGGAACAACTATTGAAACATTTAAAGCTGTAAGACTGCAATGCAGTGCCATTACATGAGGCAGAGGGCACAATCTGGGTCATGTGGCGAATTCTTTAAAAATGATCTTCAAGGAAGATGCACATGCAACAAACACATACTGCATTCACATACACGACTAGAAAACACAAAAACGGCACACGCATTTTACCATTCAAATTGTTCATGTTTTTAAAAAGACTAGTTGTTGATGACCGGTAAACCATCATTCTATTTCTATATGTATAGGAAAAATACTCCACTAGTGGTGTATGCTGCAACACAGTTCACTAAAAAAATTATTTTATCACACATTAGTCAGCCTGTGTTTTCAACTTTCTCACCATAATTAAACTGATTTGATCCATAAGCATGCAAAAAAAACTGTTTATCTTTTTTTTCTCGAATGACACAAGAGAGTTGCATGTCATTTCATTAAGAAGAGAAATAATACCCTATCAAAAAAAGAAGAAGAGAGAATACAAGGAGAGGCCAGCGGCCAAGTCCCTCTGATATCTAGTTACAGATGCACCAATTACAATAGAGACTCAACCTTGACCAAACAGGCCTTGATCTAGATGTCCAGGTTAAGTGACCTGATGAGTAGTTAGTGGAGAGCTGATGCACCAGCCAAAGACCACAAGCTACTTTCGTTTGCCACTGCCTGTAATACTACCGAAATACAAGGCCTAGCACCCTCAAACACACAAGGATTGCGATGTTTCCATATCTCCAACACAAGGATGATGAGGGAATTCTGCTCTTTCTTGCTATCCTTAGGGACACTTTTGACCCAATTTTAGGAACACTATGGCACCAGCTGGAGAAACAAGTGGCAGTAGGTTGAGGAACAAGGGCAACCAGACCCAATTTTTGGATGATAAACAACCAAACCTGTGTTGTAAAAAAAGACACAGGAGACTAGAATATGTTGAATTGTCTCATCTTCTTTATCACAATGGGGACAAGCACTGGGATGTGGCAACCCTCTTTTAGCCAAACTATCTGAAGTCCGGCACCTATTCTTGATCTCCAACCAGAAAAAGAACTTGCAGTGGAGCTGGGCCCATGATTTCCATACGCATTTTCATTGCGCAAACTTGATGGAACCGAGAAAATATGCATTGTAAGCCGGCTTACTAGTATAGGACCCTGACTGGGTTAGGCGCCATATGTGTTGGTCTGGCACATTTTGCTGCAAAGCAAAGTTACCTAGCAGATACCACAGGACTTGTACAGTCAGTGCTCCCTTAATGTCTGCCACCAATCTCCTGCCATCAAGAGCTAGGGAGACTGTCCACTGCTTAACTGCTTGTTTACAGATTATCTTGATCAGGTTTGGAGCAAGCTCTGCCACTGTTTTTCCTTGTGACCAGTGATCAATCCAGAACCTGTGTTATGGGGCATCAATTAGGGGCCCAGGGGCCACAGGATCAATTAGAGGAATGAAGAAAGAACAAACAATCCAATTCCCCCAAATACTCTAGTCTCCCTCCACGCTGACTTTGCCCAGCCATCTTCCTGGTAATGGTTATCCCCCAAATGATCTAAGGATCATAACATCTGGTATTGGCTTGCTTCGGTTTCGATCCAAATCCCATGGCTTCAGCTGCGGTGCTGGATCACATCTGCGGTGCTGGATCGCCTAGCGGCACAACTTCTCCAAATCGGCAATCAGATCGAGATTGGATCACAGACGCCGGGCGGTGGCAGTGCGCATATAGGACACGGCGCGTGGACTCCTGGCACGCTGGCTGGTACAGACTCTCCGTGGGGAGAAACGTCTGGTTGTTGGCTCCAGGGCCATCACGTGGCCATCATCGGAGGAGCAGGCAGCGGTGCGCCCGCAAGCAGCAGGACGTGGCTTTCTTGTCCGGCGGATGGTGTGGAAGATGCGTATGCCGCTCAGGCCGGCACTGCTTGATTCACAGCCTGCAGGTTCGACCACTCGAGCTCGCCCATACTTCCTGCAGAGGTCCAGGTATGGGGCCTCCCTGCACGGCGCACAACCAGCGCAACGCAGCGACGGCGGTTCAATCTGTGCCAAGAATTGCAGCAGCCGTCTCCTTTGTTCTGGCACCCGCCTTGGTGCTGGACAGGCCCAGCGTACTAGTGGGCTGATACATCCTCCACTCTTCATCCCACATGAAGCCAGCAGTTGGGCTCTTTCCGTGGGATCCAGGAGGACATAGTTGCAGTCCAAAATTATTTTATATTTTAGTTTTAAATAATAAAATGAAGCCTAGGTGTAAAAGGCTTCTTTTAGCGTGTTATAGATTTGCACCTGTGTGTGCATGTCGGGTTAGGCATCTAGTGTGGACTGCCACCATGATCTCAACTACAGCTCGAAGGTGAGCTGTCTCTCAAGGGTGGGGGAGTGTTATGGGGCATCAATTAGGGGCCCAGAGGCCACAGGATCAATTAGAGGAATGAAGAAAGAACAAACAATCAAATTCCCCCAAATACTCTAGTCTCCTTCCACGTCGACTTTGCCCGGCCATCTTCCTGGCAATGGTTATCCCCCAAATGATCTAAGGATCATAATAACCTGCTATCGAGATCTCCTGCCAACTAGGCTTGAGCATTACATGGCCATGAATTGGTAAACCAGCCCATGTCCAATCAGCCTCAGTTTTCTGTAACTAGAGCCAACGTATGCACAAAGCCCATCCCATGATCTTGAAGTTTGTTATGCCTAAGCCACCATACTGGAGGGTTGCTCAATGCGCTCCCAGGAGACAAGAAATTACCTCCATTTACTTGCTCCCTACCTTTCCAGAGAAAGCCCCTTCTTCTCTTGTCAATAACTTTGATAACCCACTTACGTAAATGCATGGAAATCATTAGGTAATAGGGATGGAAGTCAACACCACACAGACAGTAATTAAGTGACCCACTTCATTCATGAGAGAGGCTTTCCAGCCCAGGAGGCTGTCAACCACCTTGTCATTGATAGGTTGGATCTCAGTTTTAGTGGGTTTGCGGATTGTTAGGTGAAGGCCAAGGTAGGTGCATGGGAATTGATCTGACAAGGTATAACTTCAGAGATGACTGCTAGCTCATCATCAGACCATCCAATAGGAGTTAGAGAACTTTTTGGCATATTAGTATTCAACCCAAAAGCATGACCAAAGACCTCAAGCTCCTTGATGAGACAAAGGTCAGTTCTTGTAGGACGGATGAACAGCACTACATCGTCCCAACGCTGCATTTTTTTGTTCTTTTTCTTGATATATGTTGTTTTGATTTTTTTCCCTACTAGTTTTTCGTTTATACCCATGAAAAGCTGTATCTGACTCTGACATAACTAGCTCACTTAGACCATGCTTACACTAAACATTGATGTTCTTGCTAAGCTAACTGTATATACATCCCCTCTCAATATCTTTGAACCAAAAACCGTATTCGAGAAAAAAAAATCTTTCAACCAAAAACACTGCTAACAAGGCACAATGCAAGCCATATTCACCTGTAGAGATCATTGAGTGATTGCTTCTTGCCTTCATGATCATCGCCAATCATGGTACCGTAGCATTATCTCAAACCTTTGTCTAGAAGGATGAAGTTTTGCATGATTTTAATGTCATTAATTCATTAGATATGGAGGATCTGCATTGTAAATATAGTTGCACAAAAAAAGAGTTTTTATATGCTTAGGGTGTCTCTTTGGATGATTAGTAACTTTAGCCCACCATGATATCCTAAAATTTTATAACTTCATACAAGCATAGTCAGCGAAGGTAAGGCGCACGCTATCCCGGTTATATTACAAAGAACTGGTGTAAGCATGCTTGTCAATTGCAAGTAGATGCATTTAGGGAGGATTTGAAATTGAAATTAGTTTCAAAATACACTTTGAACTATAATTGATAGAAGAAAAGCTATTGCTAAATGCTAAAACATTATTATTAATCTCTTCTGATGCCCATTGCATACAAATCACAATCAGAACCTTCACCGCATGTCTTTGTATCTATAAGGGGCACACTGTTTTTTTACTGGGGGTACTAATGGTGCTTAGAGGGCCTTAATAAGGAGCTGGCAGAACTTGAGTGGGGGCCTGGGCCCCTGCTCAGCTTAGCATAGGTCTGCGGTCCGCCCCTGACATGAGGGTGTGATGGCAGGAGTTGGTAGTATTCCAGTGGGAGTTGGTATGATGCTAAGTATAAATCTGGATCAGTTGCACTTGTGGTTATCTGTTCTGGAACTCTGGAAGATCTTTTCTTGATTTCAGGTATTTTTTATGTGTAAGGGACTAAACTCCTATGGTAGTGCTGTTCCCTTGAAGAAACTAGGATGATATGTCATATGTGGCAAATACTGTTCTATGCTGCATGGTTAAGTTATGTATATTGTTTGCTGCTCAAACGTGAGTAATTATGCCGTTGCTTTGCTCTTCATTGTACATCTCTATGTATGTAAAGCAGCATGTTTAAGTGCACTTTGTTTAGGATTAGATGCACTGTAACACCCAAGGAGACAAAGGATATTACTTAGTTGCCACATAAAGTTCATATTTGTTAAACATGCGGCACTTGGACATTTCTATTTCTTGCACCTGTGTTTTTTTAGAATAACAGGATTGCATTTTTTTTATACTTCGCATAACAAAATCATGAAGCTTACTTGGTGGTGACTAATGATACAAAGGTGGCATCCTGTGGAGAATTCAGAAGAAGATAGGAAGGATGGAATAAAAGGAACATACAGAATGGATGTTGACATTCCTGCTAATGATTGGATAAATGTCACCAAGTTCTATGATGTGCTAATTTTCAACACCGGACACTGGTGAGTTCGTTTTCCCCAAATGAAGTCTTTCTTTTTGCATACTAGTAAAGTGAAAAGACCGTTTCTTGTTTAGTCGGAGGCAATGGGATTGTTCAAATGTTTGTTACAGTAGTACGGTTCCGGCTCTCAGCTTCGTATTGATGTCATATTCATTCATAAAAGGGTCTTCTTGAACAGGAACAACCTTCAGTTATTTTCACCTGTTACTGTTAATTTTCTTGACGAATAGTTTGGTCGTGAATATACTAATTTGTCATTATTGTTCCTATTGTGATGCTTTACACATTTCTCCATATCAGGTGGGATACATATAAATTCCCAAAAGATACTCCTCTTGTTTTCTACAAAGGAGGAAAGCCGATTGAACCTCCACTTGACATACACAGTGGACTGAAAGTAGTCCTCAAAAGTATTGCTTCTTACATCGAAAGGGAGGTTCCTAGGAAAACACTGAAGCTGTGGCGCATGCAGTCACCTAGGCACTTCTATGGAGGTGAGTGGGATCACAATGGCAGCTGTGTATCTGATAGACTTCTTGAAGAGCATGAGGTGTGGTTCTGGCGACCAAACTGTTTCAATTCAGGTTATGCATTCCAAAGTTGTGAATTGTTTATTCCTTTTCACAAATCTTGTGCAGCTCAATTCTTGGTTTGATCCCCGGTTTGGGGGAGTGAACAAAGAAGCGAGAATGGTGAATTTAGCAATTCAGGAAGCCCTAGCTGGCTCAGAAATCCAGCTGCTCAACCTCACTTACATGAGCGAGTTCCGTGCTGACGCCCATCCAGCTATCTGGCTCGGCAAGAAGGACGCGGTGGCTGTCTATGGACAGGACTGCATGCATTGGTGCCTGCCTGGCGTGCCGGACACATGGGTCGACATCTTGGCTGCACAGATCTTGCATCACTTCAAGCAGGGGAAAGGCTGATCACAGTTTTTTTTTTTAATCTGTAGTTATGTGATAACTACAGCACATATTATAGATATATGTAGTTTTGTGATACAACTCTTTAGATTTGTATTTTTAGTTCCAAACTACAAGTTAATTTAGTTTTGTAGTCAAACTTCTTAGCCTTTTGAAACATCAAGCAATATTCATTAGGTCTTCCATAATGTGATAGTGATGGACCCCACATTGGGTAATCGGCACCGAACCTCCGAGGGACTACTCTCCAAAAAAATATTGTCACTGTAGGGTGGGGACTAATCAAACTTTCTTAGCTTTGATCAGGTTTATAGAAAATATAAAAAATATTTGTATCTCTAAATAAGTTTATTATAAAAAATATATTTAGCGACTTATCTAAATGGGACTAATTATGCACCATAAATATCAATATTTTATTATATATTTGGTCAAAGTTGAAAATATTTGACTTCTCAATGAGTGAGAATGACACCTTTTATGTAACGGAGGGATTAATTTTCAAATAAAATCCTATTTGGTAGAGCTCCTCTAACACCTCTTAAGGCTGTAGTGTTTAAATAAGGGTTTGTTTGAGTCTCTCTTGGTTTTGATTCTTTGTGGGTCCCAAAGCATGTTCTTGCCGTCTTATAAGTCTTTTAGGCATGAGTTAGTGTTACTTGCCCTGGCGCATAGCGTGATGTTGTATAATCTTTTCGTCCCAAAATAAACAACTTCTAGGGTTATTCTAAGCAAAACTATCTTAAGTTTGATTAAATTTCTAGAAAAGAGTACCAATATTTATAACACCAAATTAATATAGCTAGATACGTCATGAAAAATATTTTTATAATATACTTATTTGGTGTTACAGCCGATGTTACTCTTTCCTATAAAGTTTGATAAACGTATGATAGTTTGACTTTAAATGATTCTAAGGAGTAATTTATTTTAGGACGGAGGTAGAATGTTAACATATTTTCTATAAATTTGGCGGAGATTAGATAAGTTTGACTTTAGAAAAATTAAGTCACTTACAATTTGAATCGAAGGGATTTACTTTGTTTTTTGATTGGCAGAGCCATAAATATTCTTAAGCTCACTTATTTATTGCCAATTTGGTTTAGTGGGATAATGATCCATGAACTAGTGAACCACGAAAATGTTTACAAACTCTAAGAGTGGATCAGCCCAGACAACGGCATGAGCTGCCTTCCAACTTAAAACTAACACGAGCAAATTCTTTATGAAAAAGAAAAAGTACGACCAAGTTCATGTGCACACATTACAGGATTGAGTGAAATCATCAACTGACTCAAAAAGGTCCTAGCGTGATTAAAGGTAGTTGAGTTTCTCCTTATTTCGACCGTCTATGGGTATCTGTAGTAGAGTTCCTTCTACTCTTGATTTCCCTGTGGCATGCAAAAAATAATTCTATGAGAAAAGAGATTCAATTGCCAAAAGAAATGGTGAAGCTAAAATTATTAGAGGGGATGAATTTGTTTTGTGGGTGTATAAACTTATGCCATAAGATCCACATATGGTGTAGTCAAAATCACTATTTTTTCTTTTACATTTTTGAGGGGTGTATTTACACCTCGTGAACACTACATATCTTTACCCCCAACACTATACATAATGATAACTTGGTGTGTGGAACGAGGAGACTCTTTCTTAGTGAAAACTCTATAGCGGATGTCACCAAGGTGACTAGAAGAGTCGAGTGACGGTAATGAGCCTTAGTGGCTTACAATAATTGTCTTGGTTGATGAGGTATTTGTGGCAAACTCAATGGTATGACCGAGAGCGTACTTCGGTAGAGCTCTAAAATGGATTAGAGATTGGATTTTGATAACTGATACCATGGGGTACATCATCTCATCTGGAAAATTTATACCCCCTTACTTGAGCTCTTTACTTCTCACATCTACATTATCTGCATGTGCTTGTATTATGTGTCTTTATCGTTCCTATATTAGAATAGACTAGTTAATAATTAATAAATTTATTTAGTTTTAGATTGTAAAACTCTTGGTGGGTATGAATAAATAGAGAACACTAGATAAACTTTAAGTACACATCTTGCTAATTAGTTTTTGTTTATTTGGCATGAAATCAAGCAAAAGCACTATATTTAGTTTTAGCAGCCGAATTCACCCCTTCCCTCTGGACTTGGCTACTCACATTCCTTTTCCATGCCTGGTGCCCGATTACCTCTCTTCTTAGATATACACTATGATCTTGTTTGTTTGAACTTTTGATCACTTTTAAACTAGTTTTTGGACTTTTCAAAAATTAAATAGCTCCCATAAACGAAAAGCACAAAAGTTCGCTGTAGAGAGCTTCTGGATTTAGGCTTCCAGGAGCTTTTTGGCTTTTGAAATAGTCAAAAGCCTGGATCTAAAAGCTCAAAAAAAAAAAACCCTCAAACAGATAGGTTCTATGTCTAGATAAGCAATGTATCTAGAAAAACCAAAACGTTTTATAATTTGAAAGAAGTGGAGTTGTATAGTTTTATGGTGTGTCTATTTGGTGACATAATATTTATTATATTTTATAATTAAATTAAAATGTAGATAATTTATGTAAGACACAATTATAATTGCATTTTTTTTTGTTTTTTTCCGAGGCACTAACTGGGAGTGGCTCCACTAGCGGACTCGGAGACTCGACAAGAGCCAATTTATCGCCCTTCCGTCGCTTCGGCGGTTCAGCCCCTTTCCTCCACGCTCCGTTTCGCCGGCCGCCGTCGCCCGCCGCGCTACCTCGCCGACGACATGCCCGAAACCGTACTCCGCTATATCTATCTCACACTCTCCCGCCCCCCTCGCCTCACTTCTTACTGACCTGGTCTTCTATCCCCTCGCAGGCGGCGGAGACCAACCACCGCAGGCAACTGGAGCAAACCCTGGCCGCCGAACCCTCCAGCCCGCTCCACCACTACAACCTTGTAGGTTTCCTTGTCTATTGCATTGAGCCCGTGGTCGCGCCCGCGCTTCTCCGTTGCGCCTAATCACCTGCTGGTTGGTCCTGTGCGTGCAGGGCGTCGTGGGACCGCGCCGAGGCAGAGCAGGAGGGTGACGGGGAAGAGGCGCGGAAGCTCCGCGCGGCAGCGTCGGAGCATTTTCTCGCGGCGGCCAAGCTGAACCCCAACGATGGCGTCCCCTTCCGCTTCCTCGGCCACCACTACGCCCGCGGCGGAAACAATCAACGAGCGGCCAAGTGCTACCAGCGTGCGGTGACCCTCAACCCTGACGACGCTGCGGCTGGGGTATGTGTGGGAATGTGTATATTCATATGCCCAATGTATTCGTCCGTTTGCTTGTGCTGGGTTCTAATATGTTTTCCCCCTTTATTTCTGGGCTATGGTGCAGGAGACGCTCTGTGACTTGCTAGATGTTGAGGGGAAGGAGAGCTTGGAGCTTGCTGTGTGCAAGGAGGCAGCTGGCAAGTCACCGCGTGCGTTCTGGGCTTTTCGAAGACTTGGCTACTTACAGGTAACTTGTATAGCAATTTCTTGAATGGACTATCTGTTGAAGTAAGAATTCCAATAGTATGTGTCATTAACAGAGGTCCAGACTAGATGCGTTATGTTAATGAATCTTACGGCTTCATTTTGGATTGGGTCGGAATCTACAGGTCCAAACTTGTCCAAGCCTAAACCCAATCATATTGGTTAAGGGCAGCATTGGTTTGCAGTAATTAGTTAGATTTAACATGGTTATGCAGAATGATGAAAATGGTTGAAATTTAACCTAATCTAGCCCCTTCAATATTTAAATCTTATAGCAATCTCATCCATTTGTCATTGATGTTTCTTGTAGTTTATACAGAGGCAGTGTTCACTTCCATTCATTATGGCATTGATATCACCACCCCACAAAACCTTTATGTTAAGTTGTTAATGTTAGTGACTTTTAATAACTCAATTCTGTGGCTATCCTTTTAGATTAGCTGACAGATGAAATTAGATTGTGCAGGATAACATGACTTAGTTGGTCATTCACCATTAGTATAGCATTATTAAGTAAAAATCTGGATTGTGCTGGTATTGAAAATATTTGAAAGGTTTACACGCCTGAAGCAATATCTCTTATTATAACTTCTACTTGAGAAGTTGGTCGCTTATTTTCTTAAAAAATTGCAAAGTTTTTTCTGTTGGAAGGAGATACTGCTGCTAATATTTTAGGTGTGCAATTTGCTTTTGTTTAGGATAAGGCATTACAAAATTTGTATATATTGTGTATTGACATAAGTTGGTGAAAGGTTAGGTTCATCAGAGGAAATGGTCAGAGGCTATACAAAGCCTTCAGCATGCAATACGAGGTTACCCAACATGTGCAGATTTATGGGAGGTGGGTGCTTTTTCAGTTTGCTCTTGCCAAGGTTTCTTAGTGTAACTTATATGTGATGTGTTTTCAAGTTCAGTTATTGAATTTAAACATTCCATATTTATGGCTACAGGCACTTGGTCTGGCATACCACCGTTTGGGCATGTTCACTGCAGCAGTAAAGGTTTGCAGTTTTCGGTTTTGAGCATACTTAATAACTGTTGCAGTGTGCTGTATTGAGCCTTCTCAATGTGCTTAATTCAGTTTTTGCCGACAGTCATATGGACGAGCTATTGAACTTGATAGTTCCAGGGTCTTTGCATTGATAGAAAGTGGAAACATCCAGTTAATGCTTGGTTACTTTAGAAAGGTAGGAAGTTTTCTGCTTGCTTTTTTAACTATCTATCGTTCTGCTGGTATACGTGATTTAATCAGCCAATGCTAATCTAACAGTGCACCCATTCAAAAATCTATTTAGCCCTTATCTCTTTCATTGTTAATACTATTTAATTTCTCTCTAAATACACAACACCAGGGAGTGGAGCAGTTTCGTTCTGCTTTGGAAATGGCTCCATGTAATCATTCGGCTTACTTTGGCCTTGCTTCTGCATTGCTTGCATGGGCAAGGAATTGTGTAACTACTGGGGCCTTTGGTTGGGCTGCTAGCCTCTTGAAGGTATTTTGATCTGATACTAGCTTTTAAATGTCATTGAATAGGCCATAGCTGTATAGCTTCACCATATAGATTGTTTTCTCATAGGAAGCTTCAGAAGCTTCCAGAATTTGTACTTCTTTGACTGGAAACCTTTCATGCGTCTGGAAATTGCATGGAGATGTTCAGGAATTTGATTTTTCATCATTTAAGTCTGCTTGTCATCTACTTATAATGTGAAGAGTTATAATATTATATTCTACCATATACCTTGCCTGCTTGGTGTCAGCTCGCACTTCATGTAGATGCTTTCCATGGGTGGATGGGAAGACCAAAAGGGCATGGATGCACAGATGTTTAAAGATTCTGTTCAAGAGTGGAGAAATACATGTTTGTCAGCAGCAAATGGTGCAAAACTCTCATATCAACGTGCTTTGCATCTTACTCCCTGGGAAGCTAATGTTCACACTGATACGGCTATTTGTCTTGATCTAATTTGTTCCATGGATGACAACAATATACTCAACCCCAATGTTTGGTAGGTTTCTTTGTTGCATAGGCTAATACCATATTACCTTTCAGATGGTGTTTCGTGAGTTCTCTAAGAGTATTTGATTTTTCCTTTTTTGTGCAACAGGGAGCTGCCAGAGAAAATGTCACTGGGTGCCTTGATGTTGGAACCAGTTAATAAGGATTTTTGGGTTACTTTGGGTTCAATGTCAAGTTATCTGGTTTTGAAGCAGCATTGTTTTATTAGGGCACTTCATCTTGACATGTCATTGTCTGAAGCTTGGGCATGCCTTGGAAAGGTACTGCTCTTAAAGCAACAGCTGATTTATATCTGCTACTAGTAGGGGGTATCTAATAGTTTGGCCTTCAGATTTACAGGCAGTCTGGTGATAAGCAATTGGCAAAACAAGCATTTGATCGAGCTCGAAGCATTGATCCTTCGTTGGCCTTGCCATGGGCTGGAATGTCGGCGGAAAATTATCACCAATCTGGGTACCCCTCACCCCTCATTTCATGGAAAAGGTTCCTATGCTGTGCTCTGAAAAATTAGTTACTCAAGCTGTTTTTTCTATTTCATGTGATTTTAAAGGAGCAATCCTGTAAATGAATCTTTTGAAAGCTGCTTGAGGGCTGTGCAGATCCTACCTGTAAGTGCAATTTTTTTAACATCAATAATGTCTTCACTTGTGAGTATAACAATTTTCTGATTTTTCTTCTCCAAGCTAGCCCTGATTTCATTCTATTATGTTCTTGCATTAGCTGCCAGAGTTCCAGATTGGTCTTGGAACATTTGCTGCCCGTTCTAGTAATATTCTTTCACCTCAGGTATATATCCAGTTTTATATTCATGGTTGAGGCTCTTTTAGGTGGCAATGGTCTATTCAACTCGGTGCCAATTTTTTTAGTTGGCCTTCATTCTTATATTCTACATTATTTAACTGGTTGACACTAAGAGATACATGATGATTTGCTAAGTCATAAAGATATTTCTATTGCATAATCTGCTACCTAAAACCTTAGTGCCTATTTTAACAAATCAATTTCTTTATACTTGGTTCCATTATGTAGGTATTGATGGCTGTAAGACAGGCTGTTCAGTGAGCACCTCATTACCCAGAGTCTCACATTAAATGGCTTGATTTCTGAAGTGCGATTAGATTTCCAGTCTGCAATCACATTTTACTTGTGTTTAGATTTGCTTTAGGCATGATGTACAATTCCAAGTCAGACAATGGACAAGCTTTTGCTGATGTTTCAGTGAATCTTGCCCGTGCACTGTGCAAGGTAAGAGTGTTAACGGTTACTTTACATATGGTTTGATGAAGTTAAACACACTAAGCAGCAAAAATCATGGTGTTTTGGATGATACATCTGAGATTCTAATCATTGCACTAATTGCAGGCTGGTCTTGCAACTGATGCAGCGCGGGAGTGTGAAGAGCTGAGATCTCAAGGTATATTGTTTTTATTCCACTTAAGCAACGGAAGGGTTCCGTTCCCTAATTTGCCAGATAGCATTGACAGTAGATCCTTTCACAATATTTTCCACATGCTATATAACATATAAACTAACAAGTACTCCTAAATTTTCTAGGACTGTTGAGTGTTGATGGATTGCAGATATATGCTCTGGCATTGTGGAAAATTGGACAAAGCAAGGAAGCTCTTTCTGTATCTAGAAGCTTGGCTGAAAATTTAAGTGGTATAAAGGCGGAGAGTGCAACTGCAGCTTGGGGATTCATATGCACCTTGACGTATGGAATTTCTGGGAAGAACTCTGCAGCTGCCATCATTCACAAGCTTCCTGGTGAACTCAATTACAACTCACAGTTGAAATTCATTATCTCTGCATTGGATGCTTTGCATCCAACCAAGCGTCTCCAGCTGCCTCAGTTGAATATGCCTCCTAAGCGTACAGCTTATGAAGTGATGAGTGAAGTACACTCGAATATTGCTCTTGGGAAGGCTGTAAGTATTCTAAAATACTGGTGTTCTATGTTTCTATGGAAAACTAGTTTATTTTGAGTGCATGCTTGATGTACTAATATATATAAAAACAATCCTTTTAGATTGGTGCGGAATTTGACAAGCCTTTGAGTGTTGATGGTAGTTTGTCTTACCTGAAAAAAGTTCTGCTCATGTATCCCGACTGCAGTTTAGTGAGGTAATTTTCTTGCTTGGAATGGTTAGGAGTTCAAAAGGTTACTAAACTTGAGGCTTGAGTCAAAATATTGCTCACCATTTTCTCTTTTCTACATGCTGCAGAAACCAACTTGGATCCCTGCTGCTGTGGAGTGGAGATTGGATGGCTTCTCATAAAGCAATAAGGGTTACCTCTCTGTCGTCACATGGACACACATCCAGTATGGGCCTAAGATCACCACATCATGTTCAAGCCTGTGCAATGGTTTCTTGCTATGCTACCTGCCCCACTTACACAAAGTTCTCTTTCGCAACATGTGAACACCAATACCTAAGTGGACCTGATGCAATACACCACCTGCAAAGGTATCTTCTACTTGTTGTATTGACAATGTATGCCTTTGGTAGGAGAGCTATTCATGTTCTTTTTTGCCCTCTCAAGGTGGGTTCATTGTGAACCATGGAACCAAGACGCACGCTACCTGCTTGTGCTTGCCATTTTCCAAAAAGCACGGGAAGAGAAGTACCCCAAACATATCTGTGTTATTCTGAAGAAGCTCATTATGCAAGTGTTGTCCAATATTAGCAATCCACACGAGAAAGAAGCTATGCAGTATGAGGTGTTTTTGCTACTTCTTTTGTCATCAGAGGTCTGTTTGCAATCTTTAGACTATGAAAATTGCATTGCCCAAGCTAAAGAAGCCCTAAGAACCACCCCGTCAAGCTGTGTGGATACTTTTTTTGCACACTTGCAACTGTGTCGGGCCTATGCGGTGCAAGGGGATCTTTCGAACTCCAGGAATGAGTACATGAAATGCTTGAGAAACCATACAAATACTGAGATTGGCTGGGTAATGTTGAAGCAACTTGAATCTGCATGTTCATTGGAGGGCTCTTCTGATGAAATAGATATAAATCTGTGTGTATGCGTTAAAAGGAATGGTAGCGACTCATCGAAATGGGCATCCCTTTTCAATCTGGCGTGTGCTCAGTGCTTTCTGTGGGATGGAAACTTTGAAAGCGCTGAAAAAGCTCTTGCTCAGGCATGCATTCAAGTAGATCCAGATAGCTGCATCTTGTTCCTTAATGGTTAGTCGCTTTCTTCTCACATAGCTCATTAGTCGTCAAGGATTCTCTAAAACCCTTTGCTGTTTATGGTATGAAGTTGCACCGTGAACCTGGTTGTTTTCTTCCCTCCAGTAGAATCCAGGAATAAACTTGGTTGCTTTCTTTCCTCGAGTAGAATCCAGGAATAAACTTGGTTTTTTTCTTCTCTCCTGTAGAATCCAGGAATAAACTTGGTTGCTTTCTTCCCTCCAGTAGAATCCAGGAATAAACTTTGGTTGTTTTCTTCTCTCCAGTAGAATCCAGGAATAAACTTGGTTGTTATCAGATCAACAAACTTTCTGCTAGTCTTATTCATGTTGATATGTACTATGTAGTACATTCCTTGCACTGGTTATTGAGTTGTACTAGCTGTTCACTATGCTAATAGTGAATTAAGGAAAAATGTGCTTAGATGATACTTTCTTGATAATTTATTTTGTGGAATTAAATTGATCCAATCTTTTAAGGACGCGGTGTGTTGAACGCTGCTTCTAATTTTAGACTGTTTCCCTGCATGGTCCTGAGAGTATTAGTCTATTTTGATAGAAATGAGGTAGACTGGAAGCTGAAGCCAATAGACCAATGGAACTAATCAATCACTTGCTTTCCCGAACTGGACAGCAGGATGCCTCCAATGAATACGTATTATTTACTACTTCTGTCTCACCTCACCCACCCCACAGCCCTCGTGGTCAAAAAGCAGCTATTGCTTTCTTCCTCTTATGAGCATATTAAACCCTCGGAAAAGACAGAAAAGGGGCTCCACTCGGATGCTATTATATTAGTAAGGAATAAACTATATATGAAAATTTTAGATGAACTAGAATGGCTACCGCTTCACTTAAAATATGCAGCCCACACGTAGTCAAGACAAGTAACGTAAAAGACAGAATGAGAAAAAGAAATTGCAATTGGCTCGTATTTTGAACGGTAACCTCTTAAAGCTCGGGAGACAGATTTTTCTTGGTGATAGTTTGAAGGCTTTCTTGGCCTATCCAAAGCTTGAAATATCTTTACTTATTGCCGGAGAGATAGGGGCTGAAACAAGGCTTGAAAAGGAGCTTACAAAGAAGACTCAAGTAGTGGACGCTGACAGTTAGTGACAAAGAGATGGTTATGGCCTAAGGGATGAAAGCAAGGTCACACCATTATGGAGAAGGGAAATTCTATCACGAAAGAGCTACTCGCTATAATAGGCCTGATTAATTACTAATTATGAAATATTCCTGTTTTATGTAATTTGATTTTGTACTGAATGAAACATCACTGATAGGTGCAACCTGTATGGAAATTGCCCGGAGGTTTGTAGCTCCTCAATTTATATCCCGCGCAGCTTCCAGCCTCAGAAAGGCCCAGCAGAAATCACATGCTTCATTACCTCTCGTGTCACTGCTACTGGCTCAAGCTGAGGGCAGCCTTGGCTCCAAAACCAAGTGGGAGAAAAACCTTCGCCTGGAATGGTTCTCATGGCCCCCAGGTGCGAATTGAACCAGCCTTCGAATGAACATTATTGGGTTTTCAGTCAGCTGTTTGGTTTCAGTCTCAATGCCTTTTTTTTCCCGTTTGGTTGTGCAGAACTGAGGCCTGCGGAGGTGTACTTCCAAATGCATCTGCTGGCGAGGCAGTCGGCTGCAGCTGTTTCTCAGCAGAACCAGCTGGTGGAGACGATGCAGAGCCCCGAGTTGTGGTTGCTTCGGGCGATTCACCTGAACCCGTCCTGCCCCAGGTACTGGAAGGCTCTGCTGCAGCAAATGGATGTGTAGCCTTTTGTATCACAGGTATCGTCCAGGCGCATTCTAGCGGGCGATTTATTTGGCTGAGATTGCCGGGACGCTGGCGATAAGTTTGTGACTCGTCGTAAGGCTTTGCGTTGGGAACTTGGGATAGTTTGCATCTGCCCTGTGCTTTGTCCTTTCCGAAATGATATTACTGGAGCTTGTAGGATTGTTTTGTCGATGTTTCTTTGTTAATTGTTATAACCTTCAGTTTGTAGGAACCAATACACCTGATCTCTTAAGAGTGTTTCTAACCATTGAAGTTGCTAGCTACTCGTTAATTGGTAGTGAGAGCCGGAGAGGCGAAGTTCCAAGTGCGTGTCGCCCATGCACTACACTAATTAAAGTGCTCCCTAAAAAACTCTATTTAGGGCCCGTTCGATTCCAGCCCGGAATGGCATGTAACTGTTTTGGGTCCGGAACCATTCCATATTTTGTACTGGGCTGGAAATGTTTCTGGCCGTTCCAGGCCAGGAATGGCTAACCGAACGGGCCCTTAAGGCCTGTTCGTTTGGCAGGGAACCAACCCTGGATCCATTCCTATCAAGAATACTTCACTAATTTATACTAGTTTTGTTTAGCTGGAACCGGAAGGGTTCCTGGTTGGATTTCACCCAACCGAACGAGCCCTTAATGTGAATCTAGCTCCAGCCTCCCATCAGAAATAAAAGTTCTTACTTTCTGTAATAATATATTAGCTTAAATGAAAGTAATTATGCATTATACAAATATTTTCATAATGATGAATATAGCAATGCTAATCTTGTGTCGCTAGTTGGCTTGGGGTAAACTAAATTTGCCTTTAGGTTAGAGAGCAAATAGGAACTAAATACTTAGGCTATGTCTGAAAGAGCATTTTTCGTAACTGGCTTGAAGTTCTTTTTTTATATAACGGAAGACCACGATCATTACATTGAGTTGATACAATAATCTTGAACTTACTTCTAGTCTCTGTATAAATCACACAACCTGAACAAAACAAAAAGAGGCTCTACACTCTCATGACTATCAATCATAAGACTAGATCACCATCTAAGTGTCCTGGAGAAAAAAGGTTGTAACAGCTCGTGCCAATCGTTGAGATGATGTTGTAACCAAAGCCTATAAGGCAATTTTTTGTAGGATAACCTAAATGTGGAGTCAATGGATAACCAAATGTATCACCTATAAATAAATGGTAATAAACATGCCTCTTTTTAAATATGAAATCATCTGTTAAGGAAAAATCTTTTTCACTTCTAGAGCATTGTAACTAGCTTAACTAGGAAGCTAGAGAATCCATGTTTAGGTGGCTTCATCCAATCACCTATGTAATATTAAAAAAAACCTTTGTAGTAGAGCTTTCTCGTGAAGTAACTAGAGCTCTGCTAAACCTTTTCTAAAATGACTTTAATTCCATCGAAGTTGCTCCACAAGAGAAACTAAAGCCAAAGTCCTTTTAAGAACAGCCAGAGTCGTATCAAATTTTCTCTTAACATTTATAGAGCTTACATAAAAAGTTAGAGAAACGACCAACTAAAGTTCCTCGTGAAACCTAGCAACCAACAAGAGCAGACGAGATCCTTGTTTCCGATGGAAGCGGGTCATGAAACCTAACAACCAACAAGAGCAGACGAGCTCCTTGTTTCCGATGGAAGCGGGTCATGGGCCATCTACATTTTCTTGGGCAATATAAAGCATTTGAAGCAACTCTAAGGACTCGTTAGTTTGGACGGGAACAGAGGCAAGAACTATTCCGGCTAGACGGAGCTTATACAAATTGAACATGTAATCCTAGCTGGATCAGTTCCGGGACTCGGTTCCCCGGGAATCGAACATGTCTTATTATTTGGAGAGTCATTTGTGTAAAAATCGTTTTATTTTTTCACTCTCCAATAGTTTTTTTATATCCCGTGTGCATTCTAGAGAGTCATTCTCGTATTCTATTTTTTGGCTAGCGAAAAATCCAGGATAGAATGTAGATATATTTGAATAAACATCTAGAGAAGCTATTAGAGAGCAATTTTTCACCAAAATCTATGAGATGCTCTTAATACCCTTCCATATTAATGGAGATAGAGATTTCAGTAAAAAAAATTCTCTTCAAAATGTACAGTGAATGTAATTGTTTTTTCAAAATGTCAAACAAGTTATATAAAAGTTGTTGGAGGGCAAAGAGATATAGACAGCAAATTTTATTAGAATAAATAATGGCTTTCCAAAGGAGAAATTAGAGAGTGAATTATGTATAGAAAAAGAAGAACGTAGCGAGCCCAACCACAGCAAAACACGCCTAGAAACCTTTGTGGAGTTGTTTAGGCGACGGCGTGGAGCTCTGCAGACTGCAGCTCGAAACTCTCAACATGTGTCAATGTCATCCTAATTTCTAGGAGGTGCCCACGTCAGGCCACTTGCAGATCGGCTCTCGCCGCGCTGTTGAGCTGTTCTCCCAGGCCGGTGAAATAATGGAGCCCAAATCCCTCCCACTCAGCCGTCAGCACACGCGGCGCTCCGCCGCTTGCCGGGCTACCGCGGCGCGCCACACGTCCTATGCTCCCGCGCCAGCCTCCGTCGTCTAAACATCACCGCTATCGCGAGCCCGAACGCCTCCTCCGCTCAACAGTCACCAGTCAGTCACCCACCGCTTCCAGCATCCAGCCAAGCCCGCGCGCCGCTCACGCTCTCAGCGCCTCAGCTCGCCAGGCCCATGTCAGGCGGCGTCGGCCCGACGGCGGGGGGCGGGATCACGCTGCCGTCCATGGGCGCGCCCCACCGCCGCTGCACCCGACGCCCACCTCGCCCACGGCGCGGCCGCACCACCACTATTACCTCTTCTCCATCAAGCAGCTCAACACGCTGGGCGCGGCGGCCGTGCTCGCCTTCTCCACCACGGTCCCGCTGTCGGAGATCGCCTTCGCGGTGCTCCTCCTCCCCTACCTCCTCCTCCTCGCCCGGCTCGCCTTCCCGCAGCGCCCGGGCAAGCCCAACCCGGCCGCGCCCGTCTTCCCGGGCGTCGGCGGGCGGCTCCGCCTCGCCGTGCACACCGCGGTGGGGTTCGTCGTCGGCGCCGCGCTCCCGGCGCTCTACATCCTCGACGGCCTCCGGGCCGGGGACACGGCGGGTGTCGCCGCCGCGGCCCCGCACGCGTTCCTCCTCTCCGCGCAGGTGTTCACCGAGGGCATCGCCGCCGCGTGGCCCGGCACGTTCTCGCTCCCCGTCAGGGCCGCCGTGCCCGTGATGTACAGCGCGCGCAGGATGTTCGCGGCGTCCGAGTGGCTGCGCGAGGAGCTGCAGGAGCGCGACGACCTCGGGCGTGGCCCGCCCGTGCCGCCGCGGCGGGTGGTGGCCGGCAGGGCGCTCGCGGCCGCCAACCTGGCGTTCTGGGGGTTGAACCTCTTCGCGTTCCTGCTGCCCTTCTACCTGCCCAGGGCGCTCAGGAGGTACTACCTCGGCAGCGACCATGAGGATGACGGCGGCGCACACGCGCACTTGAAGCAGCAGCAGGGTGAAGGGAAGAAGGATTCGTAGATCAGGCTAAATAGACGTGTGCGATTAGTAGCGGAACAACTACCTGTCTCTGTCTCTGTTCCTTCATTTTGTATACCAGTAGTTATCTTGTTTGATGCATGCCAAACTTTTTTGCTCCATGTTATTACCAGCAGAGCAACGCTTACAAACTAATATCTTCTACTACTATCCACAATTTTATTCAATGAAACTATCTATAATTTGTTTTTTTTATAAAGGATAAAGATCCGGCTTCATCTATGTATGGTAGAATCAGGCCACTTGAAAACACTAACAGAGACCTAATCCGATAAGTAGGTAACCATCCAAATGACCCAAAAAAATATAGCGAGCAGCTTGAAGGAGCATCTCTTGGTCCTCATGACGGTGTAGCTTTGTCCACTGCCGGAGCCAATGCGTCCCTATGAATAGTTGCCCTGTTCGTTTGGCTGAAAAGCCATGGCTGAAAATACTGTTGGCTGATTTGTTGTAAGAGAAAAATACTGTTCATTGGCTGAAAAAGTACGACTTATAAGCCAAACTAACAGGGCGAGTATCTACAAGAATTTCTTGTGATCCAAATGATCCAGCACAATGCTGCTGCAACGGTTAATAACGATAGATTATGTTTGCTCCCCAAGTTACACCATGGATTAGTCATGTATGTTAATTGGTCTTGGGATACCAAACAATAAGTGGATATCTCTTCACAAGAAATTAGCATATGCACATTTAAAAAACAGGTGTTGAATAGACTCATTTATATGACAGGATAAACATTTTTTTCCGTTTCAATTCAGTCTAACTAGATTATCTTTAGTCAGAATTACACCTCTTTCCACATAAAAATCTTGTTCTTCGTTAACATCTTTGCACGCCGAATTTTCTGTAAAGTTCTCACACCATTATTAACTAACACAACATACATAGATTTAACCATTTAAAAACATCTGGGCTATCTTGAAGATTCAATTCCGTTAAAGAGAAAGAAGACACAATTATGTTCCAATCTCTCAAGTTTTTCCCCACCAGGCTTCTCCTAAACAAGATATTGAGGGGCGATGTCTGAAAGATATTAGCCACAATGTCTTGCTTCCTACGAACTATGTTAGGGTACTTAAGTTTAGTGGCTGATTGTCCAATCATCTATCTTTCCAAAATCTAATTTGAGAACCATTCCCTACTTTGAAGTATCCATTGTTTAAAAATTGGTCTTTCACATTCATTAGGCCTTTCTAGAAGTGCAAACCAGTTGCTTTTTTGTTCCTCTCCTAAAGTTTTGTTTCTCACGTATTTGTTCCTCAATAATGATTGCCAGATCCCATGCTCATTATAAACCTTAAACAACCACTTGCTGAGTAAACATTTATTTTGTAACTCCAAATGTTATAGTCCCAGACCCCCTTGCTGTTTAGGTTGACAAATAATATCCCATTTGACCAATCTATATTTTTCTTGTGTTGGTCGTTTTGCCAAAAATTTTTGGATCTGCAATAATTCAA